GAGTTATCATATCAATAGCAAATAACCAGTAGACATGGATAGATGAAATGAGCTACATAGGCTGGGAGTTAAATATATAAGAGTATATGAAAATATTAGAGGTTATTTGCTACTGATATGATAACTCGCTATATGATTTTTTTAATTTCTATCTTTATTAAACGACTTATTTGTCTAACATCTAATTGTTTACCTTCTTATATATTTTACTTCATTCAATTACAAGACACTACAGACATGTGTCTGTTACCTTGTGTCTATTTGATCTCAAGAAAACCAAAAAGTATTTAAAATAGAAGTGTAAACTCCTGTGTGGGGTATAACTCATTGTAATAGAAGTTCTTTTGATTTGATCTATTTGATCTGGAGGTTGCATCTAATTGTTACATGTTTAGCCTTTGGAATTCAGTTTCATATAGTGACTGTTTGTGGTACATATCTAGTAGCTTCTTTTTAAACATTAATCTGTTTGGTTGCACAAGCACTTTCACTTTATTTTATTTTGTTTTGTATGCGTGTCCTTTTCAATAAAGTTTATTAAACTATATTGAATTTAAATTAGAGGTAATTCCTGTGGGGTTGGTTTGTCCTCCTAATTTTAGGAGGCAACCAACCTCATTAGTTCTTAGTAATTGTATCTCTGTAACCCTCTTTAAGCTCTTAGGCCAGGGTTTTTCCCCTACCTTCTGTAGTTTCTTCTTTTCAATATGTCAAAATGGATCCCTCTAAACAATAAAATACTGATAAACTTGCATCGTAATTCACGTTGAACGTCGAACATTTGGATATATATGAAACAGAAATAGTCAGCACTCCCAGGGTTTGTAAAAAAAAATCTAATTTTACTCCAATAGTCAACGTTTCAGCTCCACTTGGGAGCTTTCATCAAAAACTTGGGAGTTTTTGCTGACCTGATGAAAGCTCCCAAGTGGAGCTGAAACGTTGACTATTGGAGTAAAATTAGATTTATTTTTTACAAACCCTGGGAGTGCTGACTATTTCAGTTTCATGTCTAAAAGTGCAGTCGAGCACCGGTTCAAAATGTACACTGTGAGTAGGAGTGCAGGGCTTTTTTCCTTTTTATATATATATATATATTCTTAAATGTAGCAAAATATTAAAGGAACAACATAAGCACCAATGCCACTAAATCATGCTTTATGGTGCTAGGTGTGCCCTGACACCCCCTTCTCAATGTAAGTAATCAAACCACTTTTGAAAAGAGAGCCGGAAGCTTCCATTAGTTCTCTTAGTTTAGACCTGCAGGGCTAGCTCCTTGGCTGAGAACATATTCTGATTACTCTCAGCATATGAGCTCAGCTATGCTTCCACTTTCTTATATATAGAGGAAGCATGGAGCAGTGCCCAGAGAACCCCAGATAAGATGACAGACCTTCTACACCTGTTTGACTTTTTATCATGGGGGTTTGGGGGGCTAAAGCATTCCGGTCATCATAACCACCACAATGCCTTGAGGTGGTTATGATGCTTTGAGTGTACTCTTAATGGCTTTCAAAGGGTAGCTCAGTTCATTACAGAAAATGTACAGATACATTTTTGTTGACTTTTATCTCACATATATCAGCTAAAAAGTACATTTGACTGACTGTTGTTAAACTGTACTCATTTGTGTATTTGGAGGCACACCAAAGATTGTATCAAAGAACTTCATGATTCAGAACTGAAACCTTATGGACATATACAAAGGTGCAGTGTCAGAAATGATTATGAGAACAAACGGTTCTGCCAATTTAATTGTAAGCGCAGAAACACAAGGTACTTATTCATAGGACCGCAAAAAGGCAGAGCAAATAATACTAGATGTGCTCATTGCCCAAAGGCACACAATCAGTTTCTCATGAAACTGTTGTTAATTCCTCATAAACCTAAGGACAATATAATAACATAAATAAATTGTGTAGCCCAGTTGTAAGACTAGCATTAGTCTTAGCCACAATTTAAAGGTACACTCCACTGCCCAAATGCAAAATAAACAAAAATCACTGTTTAGTAGATATACCCCAATAAAAACATAATTGCATTTAATTAGGCATTTATTCATTGGTATGATATCTATAAACAGTTTACAAAATCTGCAGTGCTCTTATGACTTTGCAATCCCTCCCCTTCAAGCCCCGCCCAGAATTTCTGTAGCTGTCCAATCACAGACTTCCCAATGTAGCTCAATGAGTAGTTTTTGCAAGGCAGGTGCTCTGGGCAATTTCTGCTTCTTCTGTTGATTACTTCACTGAGCTAACCAAACCAATAAGTAACAGAACCTGTTGTCTGCGTAAAAAGCCAAGGGGGTGTAATGAGGTTCAGTTATAAAAAGTCTATTTTCTATTGAATTCTGCACTTTTTGCAAAATGAAAAATAGGACACACTCCTCTCACATAATGCTTTTCAGCAAGCTAAAGTGCTTTTGGGGTCTGGATTGTCCCTTTAATTAACTGTGACCCCAGTCCTTGGCCACTTGGAGAAAAAAACACTGAATCTGTTTATGAGATCCACAAAGTCCCCAGCTCTGCTCGTAACACATCCACTTGGAAATCACTCTGCTATAAATCAGAGCCTCAGTCAGAATAACGTGATATTTTTGACTGAAATAAACTGCTAAGGTTAAATCAGGGTTTGATGGCCATTCTTTTGTGTCGCTGTTTGAGGTGTGAGACGGCCTTATGCTACTAGAAGGTTTAATGGTACGACAAAAAAAGAAAAATGAGATCTGGTTCATTTGAGAAGGGCACTTTCTCTGCGGTTTTGGCCTTTCTATGGTTTCCAACTGTGTTTCTTGCAACAATGAAGCTGTTTTCTGTTTCTAGTTTCCAGGGAAACATTCCAGTCTTTCCAAGTCCCACTGAATATGTCTCTAAATAAACTCAAAAGCTGTCATGCTGCTTTATACCAACAGCTGTAACTGCAGAGCACATAGAGCCATGCCATAATGACTGCAAAATATCAACCCATTAAGAAATTCACCATGTAAGGCCTCCAGGCTTTTGCTCTTTTAACACTAAGATTGCCATTGATTGATTTTGCTTATGGTTCTGAATCGATTCTGCATAAGAAAATTGAGATGATTTGGTGATTAACCCCTTAAAGACCAATGAGAGCCTATGTCATCTTAACAATATGGTATTTAAATATTGTATTTCATTGAAAGTGGCATACAGGTGCTGATGATAAATATACTCATCTCTAAATGATTAACAGTTTGCTGAAGTGGTTATGGTGAAAGAACACTCTCTGTGAAAAATTTCAGTGAGAAAGGTTTTTAATAAACTGCAATAATTACCTTTGAGGGTTAACTCCACCTCCAGTGGCTGTCTACCAGACAACTTCTGGGTCGTTAGGCGACATTTGTTTGCCTGACACTGGACATCCTAACACTATGCATGAGGACATCCAGCATCACCCAAAACCCCATAGGAAAGCATTGTATAATGAGGGAAGTACTAATGCGAGCGTGGCCATTGCTGCGCATGGGCCCTAGGTCTTCCCAAACGTGTGACGTCGGCGGGAAGGAGCAGACGAGGGACATTTATAACCCCTTCTGCACCAAGGTGGGTGGAAAGGGGCAGTGGTGTGTGTGTATGTGTGTGTGTGAGGGGTGCAGTGTGTGTGGTTTAAAGGGTGTGAGTGTATACTGGCATTCATTGTGTGTGTGAAGGGTGCAGTGTGTGTGTGTGGGGGGGTGCAGTGTGTGTGTGAGGGGTGCAGTGTGTGTATTGGGGGCATTGTGTGAGAGGTACAGTGTGTGTATGGATAGGCAATGTATGTGTATGGGGGCAGTATGTGTGTATGGGAGCAGTGAGTGTGTATGGTGGACAGTGTGTGTATATGGAGACGTATGTGTGTACGGGATGCAGTGTGTGTGAGGGGTACAGTTTTGTGTATGGAGGGGCAATGTATGTGTATGGGGGCAGTGTGTGTGTATGGTGGGGCAATGTATGTATATAAGGGACAGTGTGTGTATATGGAGAGGCAATGTGTGTATGTAGGGACAATGTGTGTATGGAGGGTCACTATATGTGTATGATGGGCAGTGTGTATAGGGGGGCAATGTGTGTGTGTGTGTGTGTGTGTGTGTGTGTATGGGGGGCAGTATGTGTATGGAGGGTCAATGTATGTATATGAAGCAGTATGTGTGAGGTGTACAGTGTATGTGTATGGGAGGCAGTATGTGTGTATGGAGGGGCAATGTATGTATATGGGAGGCAGTGTGTGTGTGTGTGTATGGAGGGGCAATGTATGTATATGGCGGGGGAGTATGTGTGTATGGAGGAAGGGCAGATTAATACATATTTACTTTTTTTTTATCAATTATTTTCATATCCCCTCCCTTCTTACCTTTGCCGGGGTAGGTGGGGCAGTTCAAGGCCATCCCTGGCCTTGGTGTTCGAAGTGGTGAGAGAGTGAACTCTAGCAACTCCTGAGGCTAGAGTTCACTCTCGCAAGTTTCAGAGCATTGCGATGGTAACCGCGGCAATGCTCCGAGCTTGTGAAAGGAGAACCCGGCAGAGCTGCCGGTTAGAGCTCCCCCGGGTCCTCTCTCGTTCCCCTGCTGGCTGCAGCATTTCAGTGCTAGCAAGCCAATGAGGGAGATCTCTGTTTTCCCCGCAGGTCCTACAAAGCCGGTGGGGGTGGATGGGGGGAAAGGACAGTTCGAGAATCACAACTTGAATGTTGATGAGCAAAAAAGTGAGTAAAAACATAATAAATATATACTGATATTCCTCAAAGCGCACTTTTTAGTGCACCAACATTAGCGTTGGTATTTAAAGAGCTATTTGCTTGTACACTTACAAACATTTGTGTTGTGATTTAAAGGCATATTAGTAGACATGTCCATTTAAACAGTCTTTGCAATTTATGCATATGTGGAATAGTGATGTCCCGAACGGTTCGCCGAACGGTTCGCCACGGACGGCGAACATATGCGCTGTTCGGTCCGCCCCCTATGTCATCATTGAGTAAACTTTGACCCTGTACCTTACAGTCAGCAGACACATTCCAGCCAATCAGCAGCAGACCCTCCCTCCCAGACCCTCTCACCTCCAGGACAGCATCCATTTTACATTCATTGTGAAGCTGCATTCTTAGTGAGCTGTCCAGGAGGTGGGAGGGTCTGGGAGGGAGGGTCTGCTGCTGATTGGCTGGAATGTGTCTGCTGACTGTGAGGTACAGGGTCAAGGTTGACTCAATGATGACGAATAGGGGGCGGACCGAACAGCGCATATGTTCACCGTCTGTGGCTAACGGTTCGGCGAACCGTTCGGGACATCACTAATGTGGAAATTTGCACCATGGTTTGTGTGTCACAAGATATTGTATGCTTTGTACTTATTGATTGCACTTTAAAGAGACATACATTTTTACTTCACTCATCTAATAAGGTTATATAGTTATAAGTGCTTTTTTCCACTTCTTATTGTTGTTGATTTTACATATGAATGTTTGCCTTTTAATAATCCATTAATAATTACTTGAGAACATGGTATGCCAAATGTAGATATTCAGCTGTTACAAAGCTGGTAAAAAAATAAATCACAGGAGTTGCAGTTCTACAACAGCTGGGATCTACCTTATAAATGATGGTGCTGGTGTATAAATGTAAGATACATTATGTTTGTTAACCCCCTCAAGGGTAGACTGAAGCAAATGTAATGCTTATTACGAAAGTTCTGACACACAGTTAATTCTGAAGACATTATTTTTGATGGAATTGATTGTGAAACGTTTTGGGTATTTTGTTAATTAAGATTTAGTGCACTTATTCAAGACTGGAGGACTGGTGAATAAGATTAATTTAAAATGTCACACCATTTTAGTCAAGACTTAACCATAAAAGAAAAAATTACTTGGTTTGTTAATCTGTTGATTTAATTGGATGCCAACCTATCAATCTCTTCCATTTTCATTTTGTTTAACTGTTGTTATATTGCACTTTAAAAGCATTGCTTATTAATTAAAAACTGGCAGTTCTTGAAGTGTAACTTTGAATATACATTTTTTTAGTATGTAAGATTAGTGACAGGTTTAAAGGACCACTATAGTGCCCTGAGGGTGCCCCCACCCTCAGGGACCCCCTCCCGCCGGGCTCTAGGGGGTGGAAGGGGTTAAACTTACCTCTTTCTCCAGCGCCGGGCGGGGAGCTCTCCTCCTCCTCTCCGCCTCCTCCTCTTCTGCTGAATGCGCATGCGCAGCAGGAGCCGCGCGCGCATTCAGCCAGTCCATAGGAAAGCATTCACAATGCTTTCCTATGGACGCTGGTGTCTTCTCACTGTGAAAATCACAGTGAGAAGCGCGGAAGCCCTCTAGCGGCTGTCAATGAAACAGCCACTTATGGCTGGATTAACCCTATTATAAACATAGCAGTTTCTCTGAAACTGCTATGTTTATAGAAAAAAGGGTTAAACCTAGCTGGACCTGGCACCCAGACCACTTTATTAAGCTGAAGTGGTCTGGGTGCCTATAGTGCTCCTTTAAGCACTGAACACATCACATCAAAACTATTCTCCTAGTTCATAAGGGCAAAGGGAATTTACTGCAAAAAGTTTAATGTTTTGATACAAAATGCCTTTAAGTACACACCTAATACAAAGAGAGCATTCAACATCCGATACACTTAGCAGGTCCTGCAGTGATAGGGCAGACTGGACTGGATCTACTTCCTCTGTATCTGTGAAAATAGCATCAGAGATCATAGCATATAATTTCATCTGTATTGTCACAGTAACTGTATTATTAAATATAATTAGCACACAAAAAGAGTTATGAACAAAGGGCAATAACATGGTTCTAAAAGTAAAGCAGTCACCTTGTAAACCAATGGAATTCTACTGTACCTCAAGAATGTTTTATTAGAACTTGTCCTTTTACATAAATGCAGGATACATGGATATATAAGAAACACTCTCAATAGCAGGAATTTGTTGCTGTGATAATTAAATGCCCCAAATAATTATCTGAGAGCTGCACTTATAAATTGAGTCTAAGTGAAGAATAGCACCACCATTTGCATACAGAGGCCTCTTAAGGGGACGTGTACCACTTTGAACCTACGGTCTCATTCAAATTAACTTCAAATGAGACAGTTGCCTCCCTTACCAAGCTGAATAAGGCAGATGATTTGTTTTCATATTTACCTGTTTCTTCTTTCTTATGTTTTCTACATCCACTCCTGGGTGGACTCTGATCTAACCAATCAGTGTCCTATTCTCAGTAATGCTTGAAAAGTGCTTTGGGCATTTCTGATTCATTTACACATGTGCAGTTGGAAGATCTCTTTACACTGCAACATCAGAATGTTGGGAGAAGGGTGGGAGTATGAGCAGAGTGATTCATGCAGAGCAGGTTCTGGTGTCAGATTTATCTGCCCTGCTGTTGCACAATGATGCCTTTTTCTGTCATTAGTGGATTGGTCTAAAACTGAGATAGATAGGTAAGAACTTGGATCTACAGGTTTAGGAAACTTCCCTAGCTGAGATGTGTGCCCCACAATGCAATCTGACCAAGTTTAGAGTAAGTTTATAGACATTCATTACATTCTTTTATTTTGATTTGTATATTTGTTTAAAAGTGTTAGCTTTCTTGTTTAAAAAAGTATTTAGCAAGTGATGTATATCTCATTAGGGTGCACATAGAGTATGACCACAGGATCAGCACTGGTGGCCAAATTAAACATTTCATGCTAGCATACTTGATGGACCATGATATTATCAGGTAACGTGTCGCAGGCAATTTCTTTACACATAAAGCACTGTACAGAGGCAGGCAGCAGACAGATAGAAGTAACCTTACTTGAGAATATGACATTAGTCAAACAAGAATGAGAAAGAGTATAACTGAGGCAACTAATATTGATTATAATATAGAGAAAATGGGTCACGGAGGACCAATATGTACAATTTGTAGAAGACATAAAAGCCCTGATAAATGGGGCCTTGGTTATTCCTAATTACTGCAGTTGATTGGGCACTTTTGGTTTAAAAAAAAAAATTACATTACTGTTCTAGCATAAATATATATTTAGGAAATAAACAGGTACTGGCTGCTCACTGTTTACTAGACAAGCCCCTACTCGCGGTATAACGAGTAGGGGCTGAATTTACTAATACTAAGTAATCTTTACTTAGTATTAGTAAATGTGGCTGAAAGACCAATTTAGGTGACCAATTTAGGTCTTTCAGCCTTTTGGTAGATAGCTCCCTAATACCGTGAGAATTAGGGAGTTATCTACTAAGCGCTTGCTTATTTTATGTTATTTTTAAGTTATTTCCCTATCCACATTTGTTCGGAGGGCACTTGTCCTACTCTTACCCTCAAATTTACTTCCTTTTCCAGCCCTCTAGCCCTTTCCAGGAGTTTTTTTAGAGCCATTTTTGTGGCCAAAAGTTCGGGTCCCCATTGACTTCAATGGGGTTCAGGTTTGGGGTCAAGTTCGGGGTCAAGTTGGAGCCCGAACCCGGACTTTTTTTCAAAGTTCGGCCGAACCTGCCGGACCCGAACATCCAGGTGTCTGCTCAACTCTAATAAAGACATGTCAGTGATGAGGCGTCCCTTGATTTCAAAAAGTCTTACTAAAAAGTGAATTCATAATTAACTTGCCAAATTAAGACAAAAATCTTTTTAAAGCATTTTGTCTAAGTGTTGCTTATTTGTTGTCAAGCATCACATTCATCACTCTTTCGTGAATATACTCGGTATTGTACTGCATTCCAGGGAGACCTATTAGCATTGAACTATTTAATTTAATCATACAATAATATATATTAAATTAATATATTCAGGATATATGATGGTTAAGTGGTCCAAAGATCTATTGGTTTGTAATGGTTTCTAGAATCCTGATCTATTAGATGACTGAAAAGCCACTCTGCCCTAAAAAGACTTTAGCATCTCAGTACTCCTAGCACACTGTTGCACACTAAAAAATGAAAAAAGCTGTTTGTGTCTCTACAGTGTAACAATAATGCTGTCAAGTGATAGTTGAATGAAGTTAAAGATGTTGTATACAAACACAATATATCCTTATTTCTGATAATTTCACATTTTACTACGGACCTTTCAATTTGAAATGTTGACATAATCTGTCATTTTCTGTGGGACTAAGGCCTTCTGTATCCATCAGGTTCCTGTGAATTTGGCTCAAAGATGTCAAATCATTTGTTGTCATAAGACATTGAGAATTTTTCTCCTCATCAGAGGCACCTTCAAGCTACAAAACAAAAAGGATAAACAAAAATATAAAAAAATTTACACAACGCTTTTATTTGCAAATTATGAATATGTTCATTGATAAGTAAATTAATGTTAAAAAATCACAATCACATTAACTGTTGGAATATTATAAAAAATAATGAAATCACCTTAAAGGGACACTATAGCCATCAGAAAAACTACAGCTTAATGTATTTGTTCTAGTGAGTATGCTCAGCCCCGGCAAGCGTTTTGCAGTAAAAACTGTCTTATCATAGAAAAGGCAGGGTTTACATTACAGCCCAGGGATGCCTCCACTTGGCCACTCCTCACAGCGTGCAGCACTGACGTTCACAGTCTCTTCGCTCTGCATGGAGACGCTAAACATTCCTTATAGAGATCCATTGTTTCATAAGGAGATGCTAATTGGCCTGACTGGTGTTTGGCCCCGCCCCTACTTAGCCTTAGGGATAGACCGATATTGATTTTTTAGAGCCGATACCGATACCGATATACTGTGAACTTTCAGGCCGATAGCCGATATAATTTGCCGATATTCTGTACATTTACCATTTTGGAAAATAAAAACTATTTCTAAAGGTAAATGCACAAAATATACATGCCACGTGTAGTGGATGCAGTGTGACAGGGGAGCTGTGTGTGTTTGTGTAGTGTGTGTAGTGGATGCAGTGTGTGTTTGTGTAGTGTGTGTTGTGGATGCAGTGTGTGTTTGTGTAGTGTGTGGAGGATGCAATGTGTGTTTGTGTAGTGGATGCAGTGTGTATTTGTCTAGTGTGTGTAGTGGATGCAGTGTGTATTAGTGTAATGTGTATGTAATGAAAGCAGAGTGTTTGTGTAGTGTGTGGGTAGTGTGCGTAAAGTGAATGCTGTATATACTAAATGCAAAGTGTGTGTGTATATAATGAATGCAGAGTGTGTGTGTATTTGTGTAGTGTCTGTATAGTGAATGTA